ACAAGAAGGCCAACACCTACATCAGGTTGCCTCCATAGCCTACAAAGAACATATCTCTACACCTGTCTACATGTACAAATTAAGGTGCGGCTCCTATTGTAGAATGCACTACCAACTTGTAACAACAACTATACAACTAATTCACACAACTACAAGTGATATCTAATCATGAAAATGACTAGATTGCTAAGACTTGTGGATGACGAAAGATCCTACGGGTCAGTGTAAGCATCACAAAAAAGATTACAAATACCCCATCAAAACATGAAAGCATGAATATGCTGGATCAATAAGTAGATGGTCTGAAATATAACCCTTCAGTTAGTTATTGACAAAAGCAAGCTATTGTAAAAACTAAAAATATAGTATAATATGTAAAGTGTCAAAAAATTAGCAAGTTAGACAAAAAATCCAGGCGGCTGGAAAAACCAAATCCAGCTGGCTGGTTCATAGGACTAGCCGACTCTAATAGATTTTCCTAATTATGGGCTTTTGTCGAGCCCCGAATCATAGCCAACTCTAATAGATTTTCCTAATTATGGGCTTTTGTCGAGCCCCGAATCAGCTGGTTAGGTTCAACACCACCCTACTGTTGCTGCTTTAGGTGATTAGCCATCGAATCAGCTAGCTATTGCACTGACGGACAACCCTATTTGATTTGCTGCGACATCATTTTCTTTGCCATTTTACCTCCATTTTTTTCTTACCTCCTTCGACTTATCTTAGGGGTCAAAATACCACAATTCTAACACATTCTCCAGGTGTAAAATGTGATACATGTTGAAAATAGGGTTTGTATTGGTTTTGTGCATGTTCTCCAATTTAAACGATTGTGTAAAGGATTAAACCTACAAGATCTGATAAAAACTTGTATGCAACAATGGGAAAAACATCACTTAGATTTTCGATAGAGTTTTAGAAGAATTTTCTAGGGTTTGTATCAAAATCAAAGAGATAAAGCTGAAAGGATTGAGAAAATAATGAAAATAGCAAGTGAGAATCACTCGCTTGAATCGTGATAGTTTTCTCTTGTTGTTCTCCCCTCCCCTCTGTCCGGCTATTGCTATAGAATTCATGCTCTAGAGCTATGTTTCAGAAAAAGAAGAGAAAACCTAATTAGAAGGGGGCATTTGTAGAGGTTGGACTTGTTTGCAAAAAATATTTCATTTACTCTACTAATCCTTAGGGTTATATTTGCAAATCTCTTTACTATTAAGTCCAAACACATGTTTAACCCATGAACCATGATACAAAATTTAACATCTCCTGTATTATGAAATTAATACCATTTCAATTAAATACTCTCTAAAAATATAAATAATATTAGTAGAAATTCTAATGTCAACTTAAGTGGATGAACTCTACTAATCCTTAGGGTTATATTTGCAAATCTCTTTACTATTAAGTCCAAACACATGTTTAACCCATGAACCATGATACAAAATTTAACATCTCCTGTATTATGAAATTAATACCATTTCAATTAAATACTCTCTAAAAATATAAATAATATTAGTAGAAATTCTAATGTCAACTTAAGTGGATGAACTCTACTAATCCTTAGGGTTATATTTGCAAATCTCTTTACTATTAAGTCCAAACACATGTTTAACCCATGAACCATGATACAAAATTTAACATCTCCTGTATTATGAAATTAATACCATTTCAATTAAATACTCTCTAAAAATATAAATAATATTAGTAGAAATTCTAATGTCAACTTAAGTGGATGAACTCTACTAATCCTTAGGGTTATATTTGCAAATCTCTTTACTATTAAGTCCAAACACATGTTTAACCCATGAACCATGATACAAAATTTAACATCTCCTGTATTATGAAATTAATACCATTTCAATTAAATACTCTCTAAAAATATAAATAATATTAGTAGAAATTCTAATGTCAACTTAAGTGGATGAACTCTACTAATCCTTAGGGTTATATTTGCAAATCTCTTTACTATTAAGTCCAAACACATGTTTAACCCATGAACCATGATACAAAATTTAACATCTCCTGTATTATGAAATTAATACCATTTCAATTAAATACTCTCTAAAAATATAAATAATATTAGTAGAAATTCTAATGTCAACTTAAGTGGATGAACTCTACTAATCCTTAGGGTTATATTTGCAAATCTCTTTACTATTAAGTCCAAACACATGTTTAACCCATGAACCATGATACAAAATTTAACATCTCCTGTATTATGAAATTAATACCATTTCAATTAAATACTCTCTAAAAATATAAATAATATTAGTAGAAATTCTAATGTCAACTTAAGTGGATGAACTCTACTAATCCTTAGGGTTATATTTGCAAATCTCTTTACTATTAAGTCCAAACACATGTTTAACCCATGAACCATGATACAAAATTTAACATCTCCTGTATTATGAAATTAATACCATTTCAATTAAATACTCTCTAAAAATATAAATAATATTAGTAGAAATTCTAATGTCAACTTAAGTGGATGAACTCTACTAATCCTTAGGGTTATATTTGCAAATCTCTTTACTATTAAGTCCAAACACATGTTTAACCCATGAACCATGATACAAAATTTAACATCTCCTGTATTATGAAATTAATACCATTTCAATTAAATACTCTCTAAAAATATAAATAATATTAGTAGAAATTCTAATGTCAACTTAAGTGGATGAACTCTACTAATCCTTAGGGTTATATTTGCAAATCTCTTTACTATTAAGTCCAAACACATGTTTAACCCATGAACCATGATACAAAATTTAACATCTCCTGTATTATGAAATTAATACCATTTCAATTAAATACTCTCTAAAAATATAAATAATATTAGTAGAAATTCTAATGTCAACTTAAGTGGATGAACTCTACTAATCCTTAGGGTTATATTTGCAAATCTCTTTACTATTAAGTCCAAACACATGTTTAACCCATGAACCATGATACAAAATTTAACATCTCCTGTATTATGAAATTAATACCATTTCAATTAAATACTCTCTAAAAATATAAATAATATTAGTAGAAATTCTAATGTCAACTTAAGTGGATGAACTCTACTAATCCTTAGGGTTATATTTGCAAATCTCTTTACTATTAAGTCCAAACACATGTTTAACCCATGAACCATGATACAAAATTTAACATCTCCTGTATTATGAAATTAATACCATATATATATATATATATATATATATATTAAAATTTCTAATTTAGGGATTTACTATCCATTTTCAGCATCTAAGAATAGTCTAAGTTGATACTGGTAAACAAAAACAATAAGAATTGATTAAAAACATCCGGTTAATGGATAAAATTTTTAAAAATATTATAGATTAAAAATTATCGGCACTATATAAATTAAAGTAATTTCATATAATTTTAGTAATAAGTTGGGGTAGCCAAAATACATTCGTAACATTAATTGATAGATGTTTAAATCCATAGAAATGATAAAACACTATAATATTATACCTTAGCATTAATTGATTTTAATTTAGAAACTTTAATCTTTGACGTTAATAATATTTATAGGGTAAAAGAATACAAGGAATTACATATGGAGAAACTATTAGAATATTTAGAGATAACTTTAAAAGAATTGAGTTATTTCCATTGCAAATGGGAAAGTGATGGAAATAAATCTAAAATTCAGAAAACGTCAATGAATCACTTGAATTGGCATTAACATAAGACATATCTATTAATGAAGCACTGAATGAGTTACATTAAAAAATAATTTAATAACTTTATCCTAATCAAAGAAAAAATCACCATGGAAGACATAAGAAAAATTAGTAAGTATTTATAAATTCCATACTGTGTTCTTCAAATTAAATATTAATATTATAATCTAAGAGAAATTGGTAATGAATAATGCAGGTATTTAGTTTAGATCTTTATGGAAAATGACAGGGATAGAGCAAAGGTAATATTATTGAAATAACAGAAATTCTTATTGGATGCACATCAGAAGAATTCATTTTAGAGGAAAATAAAGAGATAGCTTCTAATTTATTTAAGTAATAAATTAGGAACACAAAGAATTTTATATATATGAAATTAATATTTATTCTCATTAAAAAAAAATCAAAGTCTATATTTTGAGCAGTTTGTGTTGAACATCATAAGTACATTTGACTTATTTGTAAAATTAAATGAGATGATAAAAAATTAACGAGCCTAGGAAAGATAATAGCATAAAAATACAAAATTAGCCTGATGTCACAATTGATGTAGATGATGAAGACAATACTCTAGAATTGTCCGAGAAATGATAAATGATAAACCTGAAGAAAGATTGATCTTAACTCAATAAAAAATAAAATAGAAGAAATAAAAACAATATTTTATGAATATTTTATAGAATAGTTTAATTATTTTGAGTGAAATTAGGAATCTTTAGTAGAGAGTTTCATGAATTTTTTTCAGTACTTTTATATTCTTATGTGGATGTTTTTATCATATAAAAATATATTAGAGTTAGCATTAATTTTTAATTTATATTTTTTATGAAGTCTATCAATGATTAGGAATAAACTTCATATTCTCTTTTGCATCGTTTTAACATACTTTAAATCAATCATTTTGCCATATTGGTTTTAAATATTCACCTTCCTTGTATAACGCTATTTTAATATTTTTCACTTTGTAATGCTATACTTTCTCAAATAAAGCTTAGTTTCATATCGGTCAAAAATAATATGAAAATTCAAATTATTTTTAAATTATATTTGTTTTTTGTCAATTCAAATATCAACATGAAAATTTAAATTGGGTGTATCCCATTTAAACAAACATAAAAAAAAATCGGGATGTAAGAGTTTAAAGAAAAAAATGAGCACAAACTGCCCAAAATATTTAATCATGGTATTAAATCACGTGCATTGAACGTGTGTAAAAACTAGTATATATATATATATGAGTGGATAAAGACTTGGGGACAAACGTTTGCTATCTACTTAAGTTGACATAAACTCATCTCTATTAGTAAAAATTCTTATGTCAACTCAAATAGACCCTCCATTCCTCATTGATCAGGGTTTAGACGAGAAATTCGATCTGACCCGAATTCGTCCTGTTAGAAATCCTCTTTCCTAACCTAGACTAGAAACCCACTCTCCCCGAAAAGACAAGAGGCAGAAAGCATCGCCCATGGAAGAGGAGAGGGAAGAAGACGAGCTAATGCAAGAGATCAACACAGCAAACGACCTCTCACCTTCCGAAATCTGTAATTTTTTCAATCTCTCTCTCTCTCTTCCATTTCCAAGATTAGCTAAAAGGATAGCAACCCAAAGGTTTTCCATCAGCCAAAACCCTAAATCCCCCTTTGCAATTTGATCCGGTTGGTTGACGAAGAAAGCCATGTTTTTTTTTTTCGACAAATTATGTGGTGATGTTGTAAGTACTTCTCTTAGTGATTCATACTAACACCTTGCTAGTGCAAGTGATTAGTTTATAACTGGTCGATAAAAAGCTAACCCCGATGTACTCGTTGGAAAAATCTCATAAGGAATTTATCAAGAAAATTGCAAACTAGATGAAGGGATTTCTTTGCTAAAGACTATACACTTATTGAAAGCCTAGTTGGGGGAGGGATTGGAAGTAGCAAACCGCCCTCAACCAACAAAGTAGGCTGAAGCAGTTGCTATTCTGGTGTTATTGTTCAAAAGTGTTAAACTTAAAATTTCAATAGAGAAAAAAAATTAGTTTATTCAATGTTTTCATACTCTTCAGGCCTTACATGTATCATTTTTAGATAGCCCCCTTGACATCTTCCTTCTTCTAATTACGCCTTCAAAACGGACCAATGTATTAGTTTTTGGGTTTTTTTAGACAATTTAACCTTAGATTTAACACAGCACAAATTAATATCCTTTTTCCATATTCTCTTCCAAGTTTGGAGACAGGGTTATTTTTCTTTTTTCTTTTTTTAAATGGTGAAGAACATACGCGTAAATTTACCCCTCTGTGTGAGGTTTAATCTTTTCTGATAACTGTTTGACTGAGGGGTTAAGGAGAGTCAACCCACATCAACCTAGGAAACGCAAAAAAAATTTACATGTGCTAAGTGAGTTAACACTTCTTAATTCACTGAAAATAACAAAAGTTTTCGTTCTAGACGGGTTAAAAATAGTTAACCTCTCAAAGTGATGGTTTTACTAATCCACCTCTTTAGATGAGTTAAGGAATGACCCCTTATGTGTAAAGAAAATAGTAATAATCTATCTGCCCCCATTCGCTAAAGAAGAGCACATGACTTACAATAAATCTTGCTTAATAGGTTAACCAGTTTAATGTTTCTTTACTCTAAATGGATTTACTGATTTAACCGTTATCCCTCGTCCTTAAACCTCAGTCAAATGGAGCCTTTAACAACTTTGTGATTAAGGTCTTTTGAAATACATAAAATTAAAATTTCAACCAGGACTATATCGAGATCATTGATATTGAAGGGGGCTGTATTATATCAGAGCAAATTACTCTATTGTTTATAAATGTATAGGCTGGAGTTGGTGCAAAATTATTGACAAGGGAGACAACATCTCAAGTTTGTGAAAGGATCTGCATTCGTGTGCCTGTTGAACAACTTGACACATTGATATGAAAACGACTTGAAATGTTTTATAAATGTAATTGTCAAGTAAATTAATCCCATATTTATTATTTAAATTGTGCGTCTCCTTCTATGCAGGTCATTTTGTTGAAGAGAAACTTCAATCACTGGTGCAAAATGATGAAGCAGACTTTGGTGTTTGGACATCACTTGTATCAGAGATTGAGAATACTGTATGAGAGTATCTTGAATCTTGTTGTCAATTTTGGAATTTTATGTTTATTCTTGAATCTGACTTCTATTAATTATTTTGAAGACTCTTCACTCTTGTCCTGTTAAACATGACCTAATACATAAAAAAAATCCACAAAGAAATTTACCGAGTCCAAGTATCTAACATGAAAATGAGAATCGGAGATCTAAATGTCCGGGCAGCAATAATTGAGTGTGCTATAACTTTTTTTTTGATGACATGAACTTTAGCTTGTGATTTGACAACATTTCTCTTTTGCATGCATAATCTTTTTAAGGATCTCATATTGATTGACAAGCAAGTATAACAACAACTAACCAATCTTTATAGGCATGTCACCCGCTCATATTCACACATCATATTAGTCACGGTCTTATATTGGGCGGAAAAGATATCTACAAGAATCAATTATTTACATTTTTCTAGTTTGTAAGGTTTTTTTAATCCAAGATTGAAGTCCTAACCGCTATGTGCGTAGTTCATTTGTGCTTGAACAGGGAAGGTTTTAGAAATGATACACCTTCATATTTACTCCAGAAGCCTATAATGTGGACAAATTGACTCACATTGTAACATTTATTCTTTCACTCCCGCAAAAGGCCTAACCGGTGCAAAATTACATTGATTTGCTTGATTGAACTCTTTGTTTTTACATGGAACTCTTTATTTTTACATTGCTTACCTATTATGCTTGAACTAACACATACTTGCTTTACATTCTTTTTAAAAACTGCAATTGGAACTCATAACCAATTAAAAAAGTAGATGAATCCATGCTTCTCTTCTATGGTCCCCTCATATATTTTTTAAAAGTGTTAGCTTAAATTTTTTCCTTCATTTTCTCAATCATGTTGAATTTGGGCAATGATTATAGCTTGTGGGATTTTTCTTGAATATGCCTTCACAATTCTCAATTATGTTGTAGTATTCTATTTCCACAAGAGAATCACAAAAAGCCAATTACATCATGGACAAGAATAATATGCGTATAAGTTTATCTCACATCATAATAAGAACAAGTAGTAAAAGGGTTGAGAAGTAATAAACATATTATGAATTTCAGCTGATAGAAATAAGAGCTTAACAAAACTATGGTTAACACAACAATAATAACTAACAAGTTTATTATATATAACAACTTTTTAATTTCAACTAAAAGAAAAGTGGTTTCCACGACAATAATAACCAACAACTTGGTTCTTTATAATAGTTCTTTACCTATGTATACTTTAATTTCATTAACTTCAGGATCAAAACCCAAATATAAATTCCTTGTGACCTATAAGAAAAATAACAAATATAAAATTAGTGATATAATACATATATTTCAAGAAAAAAATAACAAATATAAAATTAGTGATATAGTACATATATTTCAAGTTAGTCAATGAAGTATAAATTGTAGTGAACTTCATACATATGTTCCAACCCTCCAACTATCTACTACTTCCAGCCGTCCACGAATTTCTTTCCATCTATCATATGTTCCAAATACCCCATAAATGATTAGCCATGAAAACGACAAGAATGATATTAATTTTCAACCATAAACTCAATGAGCATGACATGAGAAGATTAGTATCAATTTCGGCCATGAATGATGTTAGAATCAATTAGCATGAACTTAGCAATAAATTAGCACTAAGGTAACATAAACTAGTTGGCAGATAGGGTGTAAATTGGCCTGATATCAATGAAATTAGCATCAAATAGCATGAACTAACAAGAAATAGGATGGAATCGACCATTACCATAAAAGTTTATAAATTATTTTGATCCCAAAACAAGCCGTAAATCACAATGACACTTTTAAAAGAAAGAAGCAATGAAAGAATAACAGAAATTAAAGATCTAGCATTGTTTGTAAAAAATCTTTGGAATTTTAAGGATTGAAGCATTAGAGAGATGACAAGCACAAGAGAGAAGAGGGGGGTCATGATAAATGAAACTAATAAGTTTCCTAGAGGAGAAGATGGAAAGGAGCTTGTTTCCTTATAGTAGACTCAGTAGAGAGAGAAAAAGATGAAGAAGAGTCGGGAATTTTTTGAGTTAAGGATGGATAGGTTGTAAGCCGTAAATGGTTGTAATAAATGGTTAAAAAGCTCCCGTCTAGCTTGTCTAGAGCTCCTGTCTAGGCCTAGGCGGTACCTAGGCTCTGACCGCCTAGGTCTTGAGAGCGCATGGGGGAGCGAAAGCCACTTACGCAGACTGCACCACTAGGTATGGTCGTGATTTTCTTTGTGATTGCCTCCATGTCCTCTAACCTCTGAACTTCTTTAGCCTTCACCAACTAGGAACACCTCCTCCAACTTTTAACACACCTCCTCCAACACTTAAACAAAAAAAATCTTCCTAGGGCTAGCATTTATGCACTAGGAGCTAGTTTGGCACCTAGCGGTGCCTAGCGCTTTCAATAACATTGATTATAATTAAAAAATCAAAAAAGAAAAGGCCTTGCTCCTCGCCTAGGCGCTTAGGCCCTAGGCACAGGGTCCGACACGTAGGCCGCCTAGCGCTTTCTGTAACTTTGGTTGCAATTTAAAGGAGGTGTAGTTCATTTTTTGCAGTTGTGATTTGCGACCAAAATTTTCAAAGCTCATCCATTGCAATTTGCAAGTGAGCGCTAGTTTGCAATTACAGTTGCAAATGCAACTAAATATTTGCAATGAAGCAAACACTTGCAACTGGGTAAAAATGGCTCAGTTACATGCAATTGCAATTGTAAGCACCTTAGTTGCAGCATACTGAATAACCCCTCTTTCTCCTAAAATTTTATTCTAGCAGGAGCACAGAGGTTTGCTTTTTAGTTATTTGAATTTAAACTCCTCATGACAAGATAAGATACTCTTTCTACTCGCCAAGTGGCTTTTCGGTCTTTCCTGTTCTCTTGCTTATAGTTATCTGGCTAAGTTCCTGGAAAGTGGAAACTCTTACTAGTGAATTGTAGGTTCACTGCTGGCCATAATAATTGTGTAATCTGAACTAACTCTTACGTAATATGATTATTATAAAAGTTTTTAAGGTATTGATCCCTCAAATCTTATGTATTTCCCTCAGTTCTTGATATTATCATAATAGTCCCTCAGAATCCACAAGTTGAATCAAATCAATCCCTCTAGCCTATAAAAAATTGTCAACTATACCCCTTTAAAAGTAACGACTGTTACATTCTCCTAACTATCCGTTGTATCCATCTTCCTCCTCATTTATCAGAAGGCTCTCCTTAAACCCATAGTAATACAAAAGCTTCAAACACCAGACTGCTATCTCCTGTTGGAATGTCAGTCACCGAATACATAACTTACAACATTATGATCATGCTCCTTCACAAGTTGTCACCATTCACTTCTCATCACCGCTCCGAATGTCCTTCAGCATTACCTAATCTTTTTACCAGCAAAGATCCGCTTCTCACAAATGATGAGCTCAACGATCTTATTTCCATTGTGTATATGGTTTGAAACAACTTTGTCTCCAAATTTTGTTATCTGGAGATATTTGAAATTGCTTTGAAACAGTTTTTATGAATTAATAATAACTTGGGAACGTGCTAAAGATACAGGTTCTGGCTTCCCGATAAGTTTATATGTATTAACGAATTTGTTTTAAAATAGATGCTGCTTTTGGCTGCACACAATTTGGGCTGTTTAACTAGTTCAAGCTGAGGTTCCATTTGCTCATGATAATCGGGGAGGGGTTTGCAGAGAGAGAGGATGAAGTGGGGGGGCGGGGGGAAGCAGGTTTAAACTTTAATATTAATATCCAATCTTACATTCATTGTTATCTAACTTATCCCGACACCTCATTTGTGCTCTATGCCCATGTTCGACGTGCTCCTTGACGCTCCTTTTATGCATGCATTTATCCAGACACGTAATCAATTATATAATTCTTGTTTTAGTTTAAAGTACACGTTATACACTTCTCGGATGTTGTATCTTACTCTTGACGTCTCAACTTGATGGAAACGGATCGCCGTCATGTTAGCCCATACCCAGTTCAAAAGTATACCTTTAGAGGATCATTTGGGTATCTAGTTTAAAGACGAGCTGTTTTCCAACTTTATAATCTACTTAATAAATAAAACATAAAAATGTTGAAGGACTTTCAGTTTTCATAACACGTGAATCAAAGAACAAAAGCAATCTCATGTAATCTATTAATTTTAGTGTGTATATATGTAAATGTAAATGTAAATGTAAATGTATATATATAGTCATGTCCTCATATTCTACCTTTATTACAAATTGTTTGTCACTCACACCCGTGTAACATGGATTGCTAGGCTAACTCTGATAGATTAGCAGTTGATAAGTTTTTAACTAAACCTTAGTTAATTTCTAATGAAAAAGACTAACTTGGACTAATTTGGTTTACCTTATTAGTTTTGAGGAACTTGTATCAAAATTTCAAGATTGAAGGACTTATTTCTAAGTATATTAGATTTGAGGCTCCAGTATTGCAAAAACCCTAATTATAAAGCACCGTAATATCTATTTGGATGCCAGTTTAGTAGACCAAGTGTGGAATGCTATTTGCATTTTCTTGTGTGAACATGATGTTTCATGGAGGTGGACTGATCTGGTGCCATGGGCTTTGAAGAAATGAGGTGGTAAAGGAGCTATAGCAAAAATTAAACGTGCCTCTTTTACTTGCTGTGTGTATCATGTCTGCCAGGCCAGAAATGAATTTATTTTCAGAAAGAACTCTTCTGTTATTAATGATCTTATTGCCAAAATCAGGTTCTTTTTTAAAATCCAACTCGACAATGTGAAGAAGGTAGCAGACAATGTGAAGAATAGAGAAATTTGAAGAGCTTTATGCATATTCCCAGATTTTACTCTAACAAAGCAATGATTAGCTTCAGTTTTGTACTTTTGAATTTTATTCCTTTGCTGAGAATTTATGCCTTTGTCTCTGTTCTTCGGTATGTGAATGAGGATGTGATTGTACAGGTTTTGTTATTCAGACATGTTACGTGCATGCTCTGATTTCTATGTTTTGTGTTTGAGTTTGTGAGCTAGAGTCTGTAATTAATGTTCATATTTGGTAATGGAAAGATATACTTGTCTTGCCCCAAAAAAGTACCAGAATATCTACTCCATCCAGGAGTGTAATCAAATAAAGTTTTATACCCATAGGCGAAGCAATGCCTGGAAGCTGGAACATCACATTTACATAGTTATGAGTCTTATGACAGCAATTACTAATATATTCATCAAGTACTTGTTTTTGCAGTCTAACTTGTTAAATGGTAACTTTCCTCACGGCCTGCACCTATTATTATTTGTAATATCACTGACAGTTTTTCCTGGAATTCTGCACCCACAATTATTTGGCAATGCTTCTATTTTCTTAAGAATTCTCACTTACTCAGCCAAAACAAACTTCTAGGCGAAGGCATTACTTATAGCTATCTTTATTGACTTGTCAGTTGTCATCATATTTATTATTTTTCTTTGTGCAAACCAAGCGAAGTCAGTAACTGGCCCATGTACCACTGCTGTTGAAAGTCACAAAGTAGCTTGCCAATGCTATGATATGTGAATGTGAGAATAGACTACTTTGATTTTTCATTTTCCTTCTTTTTTTGCCCCAAACTGCAACCAGATTCCCTTGTCAGAGTGTACTAGTTTAATCATGTATCTTTTATCATTTATATTTCAGTTTTAATGCTTGTCAAGGACTCAAGGGCATAGGTTAGTGGAAACTGATGATTCTATTTGGATGTCATTAAGCTCGTTCTTGTGGCTATAATGCCAAGACATAAGACAACATGTCTGCCAAAAGTTAGTTGTTCTAGCTTATAGTTGTTTATAGCTTTTAACTTATCTTGTATGTTCAAATGATTTATACGTTTGCCTTATATTTTTCCTTATGCTTGCTATTGTCCTGCAGAATAATATGGAATGTATTTGCAAGGTATATGATGCATTTTTGCATGAATTTCCTTTATGCTGCGGCTATTGGCAGAAGTATGCAAGACATGTGGCACATTATTGTACCTTAAACGAGGTAGAGAAAGTGTATGAAAGAGCAGTTGAAGCAATACCGTATTCTGTTAATCTCTGGGTCAGTTTTTGCAGCTTTGGTATGTTGGCATATGAAGATCCTGCTGATGTTCGAAGGTTAGATAATATAATGTTTATTTCTTTTTTTTCCTCCCATAAATTACTCAGATAATGAACTTTATCTTCTCATTAGCACATAATGTTTATCACATTTATGATGAATTACATGTTAATTTCTAATCTTGATATAGCTGATGAGAACAGCAAAAGGAGCATCAAATGAAAAGTTCTTTTTCCTGTTTGTAATTATATGGTATTGGTTCTTGTATATGTAATCTTGTATAGAGGGGTAATTGGGTAAAGTACTCATTATCACATGCTTTCTTAATCTTAGTTCCTAGCAATCCACCGTTGAAATTAATGGGTGAAAGTTTTACTTAGTTGTAACAGTATGAGATTGAAAGAGTGTGCATACATGAGTGCAAGACTGCCATATAAGTGCAAAGGAAAAACTTGTCTGACTGAACAAATATAGCAATCTGCTGCTTGATGAATGTTTAAAGTGACCAAAATGGTGCATAATGTTTGTGAAATAAGCCATTACCTGTTTGAGGCTCTGTTCCCTTCAGCCCTTTGACTTGCAGATACATTTTGGACAAAGGATAAATTCATTCTCTAGTTTCTAAATGCAAATACGTGCAAATGTACTTTATAAACTGCAAGTGGGTCCTCTATTGGTTTAAAGGAGAATACTTGTACCATTAACTTGTACATGTAGATTTTTGTGTTCTCTGAATCTTCTTTTCTCTATGTTACAAGCATTTCTTTGGCAAAAGGAGTACTTGTAACCAAGGGGATTTATGTTAAGTGAACAATTAATTTATATTTGTGAAGATAATGAACAAAAAAGTATAGGCTTGACGTTTCTAGTCTTATCAAGAACTTGAAATGTAATAAATCTGTCAAATAAAGGTTCACATTGGGCTCAGATCAGCAGTTTCTTATGCAGTAGATTAGTTACCGCAAAGTGGGCTGGGGTTGCTGAGGTTTTATATTATATATCAAGTTACATAGATCTGCATTCTGCAACAAGTTCTGCATTTATCTACACATATTGCCACTCAGAAACAATCTTATGGGCATTTCCAAATTTAGATTGCTATTTGCTTCTGTAGTTAGAATATCTTGTCCCCATTTTTGCCTCACACAGCAAGCAATATTGAAAGTTTTAATGACAAATGCGAATAGTTAATAAATTGTCACTAATATCTACAAACTTTATGAGTCATACTACCCAATACACGTTTCCAGTTGCTCTGTCACTTTCCTGAAATTTTCTCCTTTTCCTTTTCCTTTTGCTGAAATGAAGTTTATGCTGGTTTGTTGACTTATGTTTTGTAATGAACAATAGTTATTACTAATGAATTCGGCTTTGTACTACTCAGTACTCGCTGATATTGTTGTCTTAAGAAAGACAACAACAACAATAACAACAACAAAAGCCTTTACCCAAATTCTTGATGTTGCCTGCATGAATCCTATTTGTTCATTCAGTTCTGTTAATTTCTATCTCCCTTGTTAATCACTATCACATCCTTCTTAATTGCTTCCAATCATGTTCTAGTAAAAGGAAGAACCAAACAAATTTAGTGCTGATGTTTAAGGATTATGTTCATCACCAGCAAATTGTTAAAGAAAGAACAAACACAACTAATTTCTAGCTAGCTATCTCTAAATGATAGTATATCATGGGATTCTCTATTTGGGGATCATTTTCTTGCATTTTGCTTTTATGATTTAGCAAATAGCTCTAGTTAGTTTAGAGGGTGTGCATGTCTGATCGTAACTACCATTCAGTTATTTCATATCAATTACTTGCTTTAATAACTTCAAGTTGCATACTTACCTGCAGAGTTGGACATATAAGTCGTGGGTACCATTAATTATTATATATCTTAATTAGACACTTGTCAAACAGTATTCTATTAATATGGGTTCAGTATTACTGTAATCAACTCCATGTAGATTCTAGTTTGTGTGACGTGAATCTTTGTTCATTTCTGGTCCCGATTGTCGAAACAAGTGATCAAGAACAAAAGAAAGAATATAACTGTGTAACTGATTCATTCGAGTCTCAAGTCCTGCTGATTAGTGTTTGAATACTTAGTTTTTCATCTTAGATTTGTTTGTGGTATTTGGGGCTTACAATGTTAATCTCAGAGTTTGAAGTTGTGATTTCTCCAGGAGTAATTTTGACAGGTGTGATTATTTAACTTAATTATATTTCCACCATATTTAGTAAAATCCTATTAGTTGCTTTCTAATTTTTGAGTAATCATTATTGTTTTATAAGGTACAATCTACCATCATCATAATCCTTCAATTTTCATGTCTTCAGAAGCAGATGCATGTTTGATGCACATACATGTACATGTGGAATAGTTGAAATAACAGCAGTAAACACTCACAAGTCTCATAGCCCAAATTCTAGTATGAGTAGGCCTACTTCATGCTATGAATTATTTAAAGTAGCCGTGTACCGTGAACTAATGCACTATTTGTGTATTTGCCGAGTTGTGCCTTTAGCTAAAAGATAACTTCTGGAAACCAAGGTGAGCGTATCAGCACATTATTTTAAAACACTAGGTTCAAGATTTTTGTTTGGGGAATATAAACCCTTAAGAAAGTTCTCAATTAGATATCAATTCCCTAAAGATTCAAATGTGGATATTGGTGCCCTGTGATATAGATCTCATCTTTTATAAGTTCCTCTAGATAGTAGCCATCAGTAAGATAATTATGAAGAAACGGTAGGTATCTCACCAAATTGCCATGATATCAATTCTCAATGAAACTCTTTAACGCTATGTGTTAGATATTATTGGTATTTAGATTTAGGAGATATTATGAGATATTGTTGATATATTATGAGATGTGATTGGATATGAGTTTATTTCATACTTTTTTTTGTAATATCCTTCTAATTTTTATTTAAGAGAGGTTAAGGTTAGATGAATAGTAACTTTGCCTTCTCTCTTTCTGTACATGATATCAGAACCTAGTTGATCTTAGGTAACTTCTCTCATCTTCCTAGTGTGGAGGCCGTTGAAGGGTTTTTTTTCATGGCCTTCCTGCTTCCCTCGGTGGCTTAGACAACATCTTCCGTGGCTTCGACAACATCTTTGATTTTGTTATCAGAGTGCTTGATCAATCAAGGGTTAAATGAATAATATCTTTGGCTTTTCTATTTCTCTGCATGGTATCTGTAGAGAATGAGAGAAGTGAAAGTTATTCTTCATCTAACCCTTACCTCTCCTAAGTCCTAAATAGAAATTAGGAGGACATTAGAAAACAAGTATGAGATAAACTCATTTGCAATCACATCTCATGATATCTCAACAATATCTCATAATATCTAAATCTAAATACCAATAATATCTAACACTCCCCTCAAGCTGGAGCATATATTACTATCTATGTCCAGCTTATTACAAATCGAAATAAAATAGCTAGTTGCAAGAGCTTTAAGAATATCATCTTTGATTTTTACATGGTATCAGAGTAATTGATCAATCAAGGGTTAAATGAATAATATCTTTGGCTTTTCTATTTCTCTACACTATGGAATTGGACAACTTCAGGTTAACAGAGAAAAACAGATGGAGAACTCTTCGAATTTAAAAGGTTAAAGCACATACAATACGGTCATTTTCCAAGGAACTATATCCTAAAAGTGAAACCCCGCCTTTTTAAAAGATAGAACACACTTATGTGCATAGTTATTCTTTTGTTTTTCATTTCTATTCTGACTTCCAGCACCACAGTATTTCTCTTTCTTTTTTGTTCTTAAATTGTTAAACCCCATTCCAGTAATATATTTCTCTTTTTCTTTTTTTTTCAATACTGTGTAGATTGTTTGACAGAGGCCTTCTCTTTGTTGGTAAGGATTACTCAAGCCATCTTCTTTGGGATAAATATATTGAGTTTGAGTTCTCTGAGAAACAGTGGAATCACTTAGCTTATGTTTACATCAATACTTTGAGATTCCCGACGGAAAAGTTAAACAGCTATTACATAAGGTATGTTCAAGAGATATGACTCATCACTGTTTCTACGTTTACTTTTTTGTTTCTGCGCGTGCGTTTCATGTCTTTATCTGTATCACTTCAAAATTCAATTGCACTTGCGTGGGAGTTTAAAATATGGTATTAGCTTTAGCATTTCCCCCCAAGTTTTAACATGACCACATGCTTCTTCTTGCTACTTTGATGCTGATTAACATTTTGCAAAGGTTATGAGTTGTTGAATGCCATTCTTCTTTTAAACATTTCAGCTTTAAAACGTTGGTGGCAGCATGGGAAGAAGAGATGGAATGTGAAAAGCACATCAAAGTGGAAAATGGCTCTTGTGAAAAAACAGTTGCAAACAGTTGTAAAGATGAAGAAACCTTGAAAGTGATCAGGGATCTTCTCATCCTACAAGATGGATTTTTTAAGCCCAGCATGGTGAAAAAATATTTATCAGTTGGGGAGCTGTTCTACCATAACTCAAGACAGATGGATGAAAATATCAATTCCTATGAGGCATGCATACAGAGGCCTTATTTCCATGTGAAACCACTTGATAACTGTCAACTTGAGAATTGGCATAAATATCTTGACTTCATGGAGGTGCAAGGAGATTTTGACCGGGTATGGTTTTTTTTTCTCGTTTTGATATTTGGGTGGTATTTGCTTGGCTTCCTTTCTGTTTATCTGAATAACAACCTTTCTAATGACAGACAGTAAAACTTTATGAGCGATGTTTAATTCCTTGTGCTAATTACTCAGAGTTCTGGATTCGTTATGTTGAATATGTTGAAGCTAAAGGTGGTAGAGAAATAGCAAACCATGTATTACAGCGAGCGCAAAAAGTATTTCTCAAGGTATCAATTTACATACGCTTTGTTGCGTACTTATATATGTATTTCACTGAAACTCTTCATATTGAGCTACTTCTATTGCTACGTACTTATACATGTATTTCACTGAAACTCTTCATATTGAGGTACTTATATTGCTACGCATGAATGTGCATTTTAATGATGTGATCGCCTAGAACATAGCCCTTCTGGATACACCTGAATCTTTTGTTAAGTGGCTGAACATCAGATAAACAACACTTAAAATAAATCTAAGCTTAAGGAAATTCTAGATTAATTTATATATGGATTATGATAAGTGACCGGATTGCAACTTGATATGAAGATCCAACCAAATCGGTGATGTTTCTTTTGAACTACTTCAGGGTTTGGGTTCCAAGCCCTTAAAACCAATCAATTACTATGTCAATGTAAACAAGTTTTGACTTATAAAAAGTAATTGAAAAGGTCGGAGATAGAGTTTCACGAATTATAAGATCAGTTTATATGTATGGTGTGTTTGTGTGTGCGTGCGGGCAGATATGTGTGTATGTACTCATACATATTGGGTATAATGAGCATGAGTTGAGCTCATTTAGAGCTGCCAAACAAAAAGATTGGTGTGGACCAACTGCGTGGATGTGAATAGCAGGGTAGACTCACCACTAGTTTCCACCCTCACTGCTGGTCTAGCTCTTGTTAGCTCATTTAGCAAATTGTTTGGCTACATACATATGCATACTATTTATATATTTATGTATAGGAACTAATTACCCAAATGATGCAAATGGGACTGACAACCGAATTATACTGAGATGTTCAAGTAATATAGTTAGTAATTTGAGCCCAGCATATGCATCTGGCCTATGAAGCTATCTAATTGTATACCCATATTAGGTCCAAGGAAGAAAGCTTCATTATTAATGGAAGAATCGGTCCAATATCCAATCTAGTATTTTTTATCATTTAGCTTTAACCTGTAATTCCATCAGCTTCCCCCATTAAAAACCATAAAATACAGAGCTAGTGACGTTTGCTGACTGAGTTGTAGTGATGACCTAGTCTTAATATAAAGAATAACTTCTATCTTGTTGCACAATGACCGCATGTTGATTAAAGTGGACAATGGCCTTACCAATTAGTTGGGCGGTAATTTTGTTTTAGGTGCAAAGAACTCTGTTTGACTTTTCCCCTTGCGTGCGTTAAATAAGGTCAATGAAGTATTCCTGTAAAATATTCCTTGCACCCTGGAAAGATTTTCTTTTGATGTTAGTGAATACCTGCTAGCAATGTTTTGATCCTTCCTAATTTTTTAAGGTGACACTTGTATCATATCCCATTGCACAGTGTTCTTTAATCCTTGCACCCTGGAACTTAACTGTTAGGTGGATCCCATGTATAAGTAGAAAGTTATGGGCCATATTCTTGTATAGCTCAAAGCGAATGCAGTTCTTTTTCTTGTACAAATTCTTGTTTACATCTTGATCATTGTTATCCTTAACAGGACACCACGTAGATAGGGCAATCCTGTCTAGATACATAAACTATTGAGTACCAAGCAATGATTAACCAATCAGCTTATCATTTATCAGTTGCCTGTTAGCTCTGCTAAACATAGTAACCATCCATTAGAACTCAAATTAACTAATCGTTATCAGAAGCAGAAAGAAATGAATGACGTCTCTTTATAACAGTTTTTTTTCCATTACAGATACTTGTTTACAGCTTGATCATAGTTATTCTTAACAGGACAACTTGTAGATAGGGCAGTCCTGGCTATATGCATAATGTCACGCCCCAAAACTGCAGTAGAAATTCATAAATATGGGTTACGCCATAACAACTCATGGACAAGACAAGTCCCATGCACCGGTCAAGCCTGGCACTGCATATCACATAGCTTGTCTCAAAGCGTATATAGACCTGTTGATGGAGTCTAGAGCAAACTATATATATAATCGGTACTTACAACCTGCAAGCTCACCGTTACGAGCATTTTACAAAATTAAAGCACATTGTTGATTGTATGTAACACCAAAAGCAAGAATCTTTTCCATATAAACACCTCTTAGCATTGCGCTACAACCAAAAGTTTGACTGAGTACGTAGCTAAGCCAGATCTAAAAAGTTAAAAAACGACGGGGTGAGCTAGGGTTTAATGAGAACATTTTCCACTAGAGTTTCTAGATAACTAATAAAATAATAATAATAATAATTCCCAAAAATAGCGAATTATAAGTTTTGCACCAGAAATTTCAAAAATAGCAAAATATGGTCCAAACTAAATACAATTTATATTTCTTACTTATTTGCAAACTAAATATACTGTAATATATTCCAGAATCAGACCCTTTTTAAGTCAAGGTAAACAATTAAAAAGAAAACAGAACTATTAAAGTTGTGCAAAACCAAAGGGTTGTTAATTTCTCAATTTCACAGTCAATTGTCAGAATTTTAAATCTCGATGAGTCATTCGTGAAATGTGAGAATCACCTCATAGATCACACTAAGGCTACTAATTATAGCCCAATAGCATGAGAATGCATAATATACATCACAGAGCAGATAATTTTCGAGATTCAAATGCACCTAATACTGCCATAGGTTCGTGGTCAAATACAGAAGGGCCAAAACAAATTTCAGAAGGGCAAAATATAGAAGCGCCAATTACAAAAGGGCCCAGACTATGATGCACGGATACAGATATGGGACACGGATACGACACAGACTAATTGGCGCTTCTATAATAACACCACTTAACACGAGGGACTAATTGGTAAGAAAACTGAAGACTTAACGGACTAATAAACAAATAGTGAAAGTGTGAGGGCTTATTTAGCAATTAAAGATGAGTTAAGAGACCAATATGTAATTAACCCATTAGTAATCTATCCAACGGTTAAAATTAATCCAAATATCATCTAACGGTTGCGAGAGGCATTGTTTTAAATATCCCTGACATGGCCCGATATATCCCCCGATATATCCTTTTACAGGGCTTGCCACAACCGATATGGTCTTTAAATATCCTTTACCGCTTTTTGACTATTTTGAGTGATAAATCCCTGATATGACCGATATATTAGTCGATATGTGGACCAATATATCTTTTTATATAGCTTGTAAAATAATATACCGTGTTTGGAATTTTTAGGTAAGATATCAAGATTTTCCTATTATATCAAATGACATTTTGTCCTAAAAAAGCAGATCGAATGTTACAACGTTGCTTTGCCATTTTGTTTGTTTTAGAAGGTTGATTAGTGATCCTAAACATATATTATTCATATTTTGTATGATTAAATTTCATTACATATGTTGAGATTACATTTTAATGCATTATACTATCTATGCAAACATTCATTATGACATTCCGATATTTATCACATATCCCCGATATTTTCCCGATATCCGCAATCCGATATGAATTTTGGCCATCCGATATTTTCTCGATATCCGATATTTAAAACCTTGGCAAGAGGCCCATCTGTCTTGTATATAAACTGCTTCTAGGGTTAAGCATTCCCTCATCAGCCGCAACTCTCAAGCTCCCAAAATCCCTAGCGTCTCGAGAGAGAGAAAGAGAAAGAGAAAGAGAATCAAAGAGAGAGAGAAACGAAGAGATCGAGAGAGAGATGAAGAGATCGAGAGAGAGAGACGAGATCGATGGACGAGGACGACGAGATTGATGGACGAGGACGACGAGATCTGAGAGAAGAGCGACGATATCTGAGAGAAGACGAGGACGAGCGGCGGTGGGACTCTGGTAAGTGAAAATATTAGGGCTTCGTTTTGAGTTTGGGTTTCAGTTACGGGTTTTGTCTTTCTGCAATTTTTTTCTTTTTGTTCGGCGGGACTCAGATCTGATCTTATGGTTTCTTTGGCAAAGGGATGTTATGATTTCGTATTACGAGCACGAGATCTAATCTCGGCGAGGACGAGCTATGGGTGGAGCCTATCCGAGGAGCACAAGAGCAGCGACGAGACGAGCGACGAGTGGAGCACGAGATCTGATCTCGGCGATGACAAGGACGAGGAGGACGAGCACGAGATCTGAGAGAAGAGATCGATGGATGAAGACGAGGACGAGCGACGGGACTGAGGTAAGTGAACGTTAGGGTTTTTGTCCTTTTGGGTTTGGGTTTTGGGTTATGGGTTGTCTTCATTCAGCGTTTTTTTTGTTCGGCGAATCTAAGCCGTATCCTGCCCCCTGTTTGACCGTGTCCCCCTCAGTTGAACCGTTGACCCGTGTCGGACACGGATTGACCGTGTCCGTCACGTGTCTTGCACGTGTCGTGCACGAATTAGTGTTTGATTTGTGTCAGACACAGATTTGTGACCTCCGGGGGAGTGTCCGTGCATCATAAGGGCCAGGTACAGAAGGGCCAAATAAATGTGCATTCACCATATGGTAGGCAAAATACTCCATAGTGGACTTTCTAAGGATTGAAAAACATCGAGAATTACTTATCTAATCGAAAACATGTCACTTATCAGAATTTGCTAAACATTTTTGAATCAAGTGGACGAGTGTTTACGAATTTCATTTTTCTATTTTCATCAAATACTAGGTCACAAAAAATCTTTGAATCCATTAAACTATTGAAACACATTCAAAATACTTATTTTCTTCAAAAGCTTTCAAATAAAGTAATATCCACAATTATTTGAGATCGCATGAGAATCAAATTCAATTTTCATATCTTATATAAAAACAAATTTACTTTTAATATCTTGTACGAAGTCAACATCGTATAACAGGTTGGGTCACATCAAAAATAGATAAAATCACATCTAACTTTTCATACATGAATAATATATTATTTATTTTTCGAGCACAAGATCAATCAATTATGGTACTCATGCAATTTCATATTATAAAATACTAGTGAGAAATGAACTCATCTCTAGTGAACACGATTTCCTCAAAATATTAGTCTCCAGGATATCAACCAGATCCTATAATTTAAAGATATAAAACTAATATTAACTCAGGACAAGTATATATTATAAGATAACCACTT